AAAGAGTATTTTTAACACTTAACTGTATATAAAAATCAATCCATAATTTATAGCAGTAAAATTTAAAGGTGAGTTATGGGAATCTATCATATTGCATCAAGAACACATAATTTTACACTTTTATTAATATAGTGTAAAGTATAAAGGCACCATGGCTAGGGATTTTTGAGAAATTGTGGAAGGTATGGACAGAGCAAAGAAAAAATACTTTATCAATTATCCAAAGAGGAAATGTTAGACTCTGGAAACCAAACACTAGTGAGATTGTGTCTTGGCAATAGTTTGTTAGATTTTCAACAGGGAAGGGTAATTCCTAATCCCCTGCACAGATCTACTATGGATTGCCAAATCATGACAGTTATTTTACTGCTCTGTTATGAACATACTCTATGTAGAGTAACTTTCATTGAATTCAGGCATGAGAATATGAGATTGGTCTCTCATATTCTTGCGATTACGACAAAAACTGTGATCTGAGATGCTGCATAGATGTTTAATGGCTTTGAGTTGAATCTGGAAATTACATGCAAAGGGGATCTGCTGGCAGGTAGGGTGTGCCTCATGTGAGCAAAGCAGGGTTCTATACTAGGTCTCAACTCCTTTATTGACTGTTTGAATGAAGACTTAGAAGATATTCTCATCAAAATATCAATGGCCGAACAATCTAAATGGATGTAACCTGAGAGTAGTAAAAATAATAGCAAATAGAGATAAATGCAAGGGCCAGATTTTTTTCAAGAAAAATATACCAGAAAGAACGCTTACATAATCTTAGACTTCAGAAGCCCTAATACCTCCTACTGTGATAAATGCTGGATGAGTATGCATATATCTGGGCACCACAATTGAAAATTATTGACAAATTTGAGGCTACCTTGGGCATCAGGCCTGGGAGGATGCTATGAGAAATGAATGATGAAACATGGCCTGTTTAACCTGGAGAAAAAAGACTTAGATTGGGCAAATGATAGTCGCTTTCAAATTTTTGAATATATAGATAAAGTAGATATTCGCTATTGTTCTAAAAGGCAGCACTAAGACCAACAAATAAAAGTTAAAGCATTTTCCAACAACTGGAACTATCCCCTAAAATTGAACACACACATTCCTTTAAAATTCTTGAGGCTTTACTCCGGTGAGAATTCAGCCACAGGCTGGAGGACACTGGGATGCTAGCACCTAAGGCAGGGTATGCTGTATGGCTTCTCCTGGTTCCCTCTAAAAATATAAGACCACCACAACACACACACACACACACACACACACACACACACACAATGGTATTTCATCCTTACAACAACCCATAGTCCATACATGATGAAACTTAGGCACAGAGAGGCTAAATTGACTGGCCTTACACCTGACCACCATTACTTGATTGAGTGGAAGTTTATGTCTCCATGTTAATGCTTTTTCTCTGTCATGGTGCTCCCAATGAACCATGGGAACACCTAGTTTCTCTCACATTCCTCATTCTCTCCCTCTCTCTCTCTCTCTCTCTCCCCCTCTGCACATAAATTTCTGCTATTACAATCCTTACACTGAAAAGATTCTATTTATTCACGAACAGGAATATGTGATGTGTAAACCACAGCGTTTTATTTAAAATCAAATACATAGAAATAATTTAACATCCCTAATAATTATATTTTCAAAATCTAAATATTCTTACCTGATCGACAAGCAATGTCTACATCCTTTTCAAAGTCTGTCTGTAACAAGAAACAATAAGACACAGAACTATCATTTA